TTGGCCGGACCCTCAAGACACCTGAGAAGCCTGGCCCTGACGGACGGGGGTCCCTGCTCCCTGCTGGGCGAGCCCCCAGATTGCATCGGGCCAAACCGGGCCTTGGGGATGGAAGCGCCTGTCCCCGTGTCCCGCTCGTCCCGCGGGTCTCGCCCCTGTCGCGGGCGGCAGGGCAGAGGTCTGGCTGTTACCTGGATCCTGTTCACTCCTTAATGAGAAACCAGCCGGCATCTCCCCAGCGAGTGGCCTCCTGGCACAGCACAGCCCTTCTCCTCGCTGTGGCTCTGACCCTCGGCTGCCTGCCGCTCTCTGCCAATTTACGGCTGGCCCGTCCACGTTCTCCCATTCGGTGTTTCTGTATAAAACATGGTGCGTGCCGGTTGGGCAATGCCCTCCCGGGGCTGCAGTCGTGCTCAGGTGCGATGGGCTTTTGGGGGTCGGGAAGGGCGATACCCATGCTCCCGTGTCCCTGTCCTGCAAAAGGAGAAGCTGCTGCTAAACTAAAAATACCTAATTTCTCCCTCCCCCAGCTCTGGAGTGATTCCCAATTTTGTGTTTGAACCTAGCGGTTCTGCATCTCTGGAGCCAGTAGCGACCCATGGGCTGCTGTGCGGAGCCCATCTTGCCTGGCCTCTGGGCAGCATGGCCAGGTCAGCCATGTGGTGGCTTCGTCTGGGTAAAAATCACCCTGGAGGAGGACGGTGTCCCCTTCCCAAGGCACAGGGACTGCCGGGCTGGCTGTCATGCTGGCTTCTCACCCTTCTTGCTGGGACGGGCACCGTGGGACAGCACTGGCCGCCCCCCATAGCAGCTCTTTGTAAGCAAGGCCTTTCACTTGGTTTTTGGCTGTTACATAAATTTCTCTGGGGGCTAAACTTAGCCCGTGAAATCCCTTCTAAGGCTCTTGGGGGAATGACATCCAGCGCTGCCTGAACCTGCCTGTTAGTTTTCCCCCAAGGCAGGTTTGCAATTGCTCCAAAGCTGCGTTGCTCCGTCCTGTCTCCTGGCAAAGACACGAAGCCCTGTTCATGCCCAGAGCTGTGGCTGCCCCACACTGGGGCCAGAGCAAGGCACAGAAATGCTGCAGTGAGCAGAGTGGGGATAATCTGTCCTCCAAGCCCGAGCTAGGGCTTTCCTCTAATTCACCGGCACAGACAGGTTAAGTCCTGGCTTTCCCGCAGCGGGGCGCTTATGTTGATGGAGGAGTTTGTACGCAGGGTAGGGGGGACGCTGCAGGGCTGTGACAGTAAATGCCCTCGGCTCTGTGTGTCCCCGGCTGCTTTCCTGCCCTCTGCCCCTTCGGGGTCGCTGTTTTGGCTGTCTTGGGCAGGTTGCGGGGGGAGCTGCTGGGTGCCAGCGTCTCCAGGCCCTCTGAGCCCACCCATGAGTGAGGGCTCTTCGCTGTGGCTATGGCTTCAGCAGCGAGGGCTCCTTGCTCTGGCTTCCCCCATCCGCCAGCTCTCCCAGCACCGCTGATCCTGCCTCCTGCAAACAGCTGACGGCTGGGTCCAAATGACCAAAGCCTTGGCTTACGCTTAATTTTAATGGTGTAATTTAATAACAGGGAAGCAGGATTGGATTGCTGGTTCTCAGGGGGCTGAATCCTTAATGAACAGCGGCTGCTCCACACAGGCACACGCGGGAGATGTGTACAGGGAGCAGAAAGGCAATGCAGGCTCTGTTGGCAAGGCTTGTCCTTGAACAGTCGTTATCTAAATGCCAAGTGGCTCCGAGCCCCATGCAGGGAGGAGAAGCTCAGTGCCTTGACTTTGGCCTGTAGGTGTGCGTTAAAGTTTCCACTTCTGACATTTCTGCAGCCTTGGCCCAGGTACAGGCTGCCACAGGCCAGAATCCCGGTGAGTTTGTTGTGGTAACGTCCCTTCCAGGCCAGGGAGGGGACAAACAGTGACAGGACCAGGCTGTGGCTCCCTCAGGGATGAGGGATTGCCTCTACCCCACAACAGACTCTGCCACACGCTGCGGCTCAGTGCGGCCGTGCAATCAGTGTGTTGAGCACCGCGGTGGTCTGGTGTGCGGAGGGTGGTCCTGGAATTAATTGAGGGGGGGCATTATTCCCAAGTGGAGGGTGCTGGCATGTGCCTCTTCTCACTACTGGGATGAGAAACCTGCTCAGCAGACCGAGCCTGGGTCTCTCCTCACCATCCCGGTGCCAGCAGGTATGTGACCATCCTCTCTGTCCCTGCCGACAGGTTCTAAAAAATGGGGCTGTACCTCGTGTTCGGCTATGGCGCCTCACTGCTCTGCAACCTCATTGGCTTCGCCTACCCCGCATACGTCTCGTAAGTACTGGCGTCCCAGCCCAGCCTCCCTGTAGCACCTGGAGAGCATTCCCAGCCCTTAGCTGAGGGTCTTCCTGGTAAATGAAGAGGCAGTTATGGTTGGGAAGCTCTTGAGACCTTCCTGAAAATGCTGGGACCTGGCACCATCCCAGCTTGGCGCAGCAGCACCTGGTAGGCAGGTTTGCTCCAGAATTCGGAGGATTTGGGAAGGAGGTGCCCACCCTGCCAGCAGGACTGTGGCAGCAGCACCCTTCCCCTCTCCTGCTGCAGTATCAAAGCCATCGAGAGCTCCAGCAAGGAGGAAGCAACCACATGGCTGACGTACTGGGGGGTGTATGGCGTCTTCAGTGTAGCCGAGTTCTTCTCTGACACCTTCCTCTACTGGTTCCCCTTCTACTACGCTGGGAAGGTAACAGCTTTGCTGGGGGCTGCTGGTGCCAGACTCCTCTCACCCATTAGCGGTGGTGGTGGCTGTGGTCCCAGTACCTCCGGCGAGCTCCAGCCTTGGGAAGCTGGAGGGGGGACTGGAGCATCTTGGCTGCGGCACCGTCACTGCTCCCCTTCTGGGGGCTGCCTCGCTCAGCCCCTGCCCTGCCATCTTCCAGCTCTGGAGTGTCTCTCCTCCCCGCAGTGCCTGTTCCTGGTGTGGTGCATGGCCCCCGTGTCCTGGAACGGGTCGCAGGTGCTCTACCACAACATCATCCGGCCCTGCTTCCTCAAGCACCACCAGACCGTGGACTACGTGCTGGGCACCCTCAGCACCAAAGTGCTGGATGCAGCTTCCAGCATCACCCGAGAAGGTAGTGCGGGTCCCCTGTCCTCGCTGTCCTGCTCCATGTCTGGGGCTGCCGAGATGCAGTCACCTCTCATTTTAATTACCGGCAAGCAGCCATCTCTCCGTGACTGCAGACTGTGCTCTCGCAGCCACATCCCCTGTGCGGTGGTGGGAGCTGAGGTGGGTTTTGCTCTCCCCCCACGATTATTCTCTCTCTTCTTTCTGTGCCTGGCGGTCCAGTCCTGCAGACTCTGGTCAGCAGCAGAGCCCGGCTGGCAGCTGAGGTGGCACCACAGCTCAGTTTGTCTGTATGTAAGAGCCACGGTTCCCGCTAAAGGGAGAAGGGACCGTTCTGCGCCAATTGCCTCACCGCTACCACCATCCTACGGATGGATGCAGCCGCCTTGGCACTGGCTAAACTAAACTGCTCTTGCAGATGCCGGCGTGGTTCACGCTCAACCGTCCTTTCTCCCTTGGCGTGGGTAGAGCAGGCACTTTCCCTCCTGCTTCTCTGTAGCCAGACCCCCAAACCGTTTGTCCTCCTTCAGCCCCACCATGTCTGTGTGTTCCTCAGCGCTGTTGCCAACTTGGGGGGCTCCAAATCAAAGGCACCCCCCCC